CCTGCCTTGTCACTTCTTTTTACAGTTATGTTGGGGGCATTTTTTAATTCATTAAGGGCAATTATTTCCTCTCTAATTAGATTATTTGGTCCATTTGTATTCCACTCTATCTTTTTTAAGATCAGAGTGCCAACAATTCAAGGAAGAGGCTCACCCATTTATTTCCACTTAGATTTGGCATCCTTTTCGATTTGATTTTTAATCTTGTTTTCCTTTTCCCCTTTTGGGTTGTTGCCTCTTCAGTGTTATCCTCATCTGATTCATTTTTCTCAAGCAAGCCAAGCAAGCAAGATATTGAAGAGTTTGTTTCTGTAATTCATGGATCTGTTTTTATCCTGCGGGTATATTGTGTAAAGCTCTAAGTCAGGGGTGTCCAAACTATGGCCCTCCAGGTGTTGAGGAACTGTAAGTCCCATGAGGCCTTGCAAGACTCTGACATCCAAAGGCAAGACACCCAGAGGCAGAGGCATGATGGGACTTGTAGTACTTCAGCAGCTGGAGGGCCATAGTTTGGACACCCCTGCTCTAAGTAGTACTTTGAGCAGAAATAAATTTAAATCCTTGAATACCTCAAATTCATTCATTGTATTAGTTGGAAAGAAGGAAATCCCCTTCTGTAGGAGTTTAAGATGTCTATGTTTAGTTTGGAAGCCTGACAGATTTATGACTTTTAAATCAGTCTTAGCTTGGGATATTAAATTCAAGCTCCTCTTTATCTAATTCCTCTGACTTCTTGTTCGACCTAGAGTGTTTGTTTTCACAAAATTTTGTTTTCCTCCAGCTTTTTTTACTTGATTATTCCCTTGATTGGTTCTCTGTTTTTGAGGTTCCCCTTGTTCCAAGTCTGCTGTTTCCTCTCCTAAAAAAACTCACAGTTTTTTTTCATTAGTGATATCTTCCTCACTATCGGATGATTGGGAGACACTATGTCTTGGGGTATACCTCCTACGTTTGGATCTACTCCTTCCTCTTTGCAGTTGTGAGGCTAAAGATCTCACCCTTGCTCCAATCTTCTAGGTCCATTCTAAACCTCTGTTGTTTAGTTGTACGTAGGTTTTTCGGAACCTTCTCGATTTCTTTCTTTAACAATTCATTATGTTTATTGAAATTGGGGTCATCCTTAAAGAGGTCCAGGGACTATCTGGTCAGACAGTTCCAATAGTTGTGATTTTTCTTCTTTATCAACTTTAGACGCATAACTTCTTTCCATGTTTCCATTTAAACATGCATTCCATGTTTAATACATGCTTTCCATTTCTCTAGAAATCTTTCAGTATGGAGATGTTCCGCAGGTAAAACTTTTTCTCTTAGATGTAGGATTCCAACGACATAATATCCCACTTTCAATTTAGGTATTTAATGGTTAGTTTCCAATGGTTTCTAAATGTAATGTTCAACTCTTCCTTTGTATTATTTGAAGTTTGATTTACGTAATTCAGAAAAGCTGATTTAATTTCCTCATCCAGGTCTTCTCCAATCTTATATGCCATACCCATTATAAATTATAAACTATAATTCACTGCAGCTGTATTGTCTACTACTCCAGTGACTGGAGGTGCCATTCAAAATGTGCAATATAAAGTACAACATACTAAAAATTGAAAAATAAAGTGCTTATCTACACCATTGTGGTGTGTTATGCCACGTATCAGCATGCATTGCATTATGGCAGATTGTTTTAATGCAATACATACATGCAATTGTGTAGTATAATGAATGCCCTCTGGTTAGTCCATAGTCCCACTATTAAGGGAAAGGGAGAAAGGGGGGGGGGTGGAGGAGAAACCTACTACTGAGTCCGGCGGAGGGTCCTCAGGGGCTCCAGAAAAATAACACTTCAAGGCTGATTTTCAGAGTGGAGCAGAAGCAGATCTCCAAATTGATATGTAGAGAGAAAGGTAGAGAAGGCGCCACTGTGTAGACTGTAAAAACACTTTATTAAAAAATAGCTGAAAATACGCTTACATTTTGGAAGGTACACACAGGCACATCTGTAATATATAGCTGTTTTCCGGGACTGGTGTGGACACGCTGCGGATGGGAATTGTCCAGAACCTGAGTCCAGAGCAGGTTGTAAGATGGCGCAGGGCTGGGTTAGCACTGAATTACAGAAACTGAGTCCAGAAGAGGGTATGGGATGGAGTAAGGCCGGATGAGCTCTGTAAGATGCGGTGGAATGCAGGTGGAATGCAGGTGGACTGCAGCGTTCACCATGACTGCGTGACCGGAAGTGATGCAACAACGATTTGGAGCATATGCACCACCTACAGAGGCATGCTCTTTTCTCAAGCTTACCATACACTCAGATGTGCTCGTTCTTATGCTTTATTGGGCAGTAGGTCTACCCTCTAATGGACAAAAATAAATGAATACAGAAATTGGACAAAATAAATAGACAACACGGTCATGTGCCATCTAGTGGACAATATTCAAATTGTACTGTACCATAACTGAACTGCTAAAATGTACCATTTCATTTTAGTATTTTGCTATAGATATATACTAAAAAAAACATGCATATACTAATCATATACTAATCATCTTGTATGAGAGTGTGACCAATGCTATATCAAGGTATATTGCCAGATGAAAAGGAAAGAAGGGGAAAGGGAATATTTTAGTCTAAATGTAAGTATACTATAGAACAGATAATACTAGTTAGTGTTTTTTTCCAACATTTTTCCAACATCTTCCGACATTGGCGCTGTCTCCACCTTTTTATTCTAATGGAATGCCTATGTATCAAAGAACATCAAAAATATATGCCTGCACCATTTCTGGCAGTGCAGTGAAACACACTTCAGTGTGTCACAGCACACTGCACTGCAATGCATGTACAGTATGTTGATATTTTGAATGGCAGTGCATTGTACCATTTTAAGTTTTTGTGTGATCCTCTGGACAACTCTGGGGCCACAATAGAGGCCCCCTTGTATTCACTACATTGACCACGGACTTATACAGTGCATGAATAAAAGGAAGACTACAGTATACCTATATCTGCAAACAATTTGTTATGCATAATTTTCTTTAATCTTTGAAAATACATTTTTGTGTTTTTTTGTCATTTTTTTGTATTTGGGTAAAAACATGTTTAAACATTTAGTTGTAGCTTAAATTTTAAGTATTAAAATGGAAAGTTTGAATTGACTGTCAGACTATATATTTATTGTTTCAAAAAAATCTTAGCAGTTTTTTTAAATGGCTTTTTCTCTACAATTTTGAACGAAAGCACTGTCACTTTTTAAGGCTTTTTAGAAAGGAAAATGTACTTGTTAAACTTGAGTGTTTTCATCTCTGTTTTTTCCTTTGCAGTTTGTTTTGAAAAAGTAGTGTTAAGATGTTAAGATCAGAATAGAAACTCACAACCGTGTACAAATATCTTTAAGTGTGCTACAAGTGCAGCCCTTTCTTACACCCCCTGTAGTCTACTGGTGGGGTTGATTTACTAAAGCCAAATAGACTGTGCACTGAAAGGGCAGTTGCTCTAGATCTGAGGAGAACATTCAAGAAACATTTAAAAAAAAAAACAGCATTTTTGCTTGTACAGGATTGGATAAAAAAAATCAGCAGAGATTCATCTCATTTCAGAGCTTCTCCTCGAATTTAAAGGATACATTCACTTTTGGGAACATGTTACACATTCCACCCATTTTTAGGGTGGAACATGTAACATGTTCCTGATGCTGCAGCTGTGACAACCGCCCCCCTCCCTCTAACAGATAATATGGGGAGAAGTTTCCCTGTACTATCTGTCAGATCTATCTGTCACGGACACGCCATTCATCCGTGAATCTAGGACTTCCATGAATGAATTAACTGCATGTCCTGACAGCCTTAGCGGCTGTGGGCTTGTACTTTTCAATGAACTGTGGAGCGCAGTGGTAGTTCATTGAAGCTTCCTGGAAGAATATCTTCTTGGCTGTACATCCTGTACTGCAATCAGATATTCTGACAGGCCTGCAGAAGACCTGCATGGTGTCAGCGATCTACTGATCGCTGGTGCATTGCTATCCAGGCTCCTTTGTACAGAAATAATAAATGCACATTTTTTTACTTGCAAAAAAATGTGCATTTATTATTTTTGTCCAAAAGGTGAACTTATCCTTTAAAGGAACTGCACTTGCAGTGCATAATATATTTACCTTTAGTAAATCAATCCCAATTAGTATGCTGAGGGCAAAAGACAGCTCTGCACTTTTGTCAAGACCAACAGAGTTTTTTTCACTTATAAAGCAAATATAATAAAATGCTTTTGATGGTAATGTATATTTAGCAGATCAAATAGAGCATAATAAGATACATATATTGTTAGGGTTTACATACACTATAAATACAAATAGTTCATCTGCTTGAAAGTGTTTTAGCCTCAATGCCTCCAAAGTCTTATGTTGCTTATGCTATATTACATTACTTGTTTTCATTGCTGATGGCTGTTATTGTTTAAATTCTAAATCCAGTTAGAACTTAGAAGATTTCATTTTCTGTACTTTTTTTTGTTCCCATCTAGGACCCAATTGGATATATTACCCAGGGGTGGACTGACAACTCATGGGGCCCCCAGGCAATAGTGGATCATGGGGCCCCTGTGTCCTTGCCCACACTCAAAGCACACCCAAAAAAGTATAAAAAGTATCAGGGGCATTTATGGGGCCCCCTACTGACCCCAGGCCCTCGGGCAGTGCCCGAGTGCTCAAATGGTCAGTCCTCCCCTGATATTACCCCTACTCTTTCTCTTTGTAATATCCGCACAAGGTATGGTGTTACCAGGGCACAGATAGCAATATTCCTCCTCCACTTCTAAAAGATTTTTACCTGTATCCACACTGGAGAAATTTCCCAGCTTTTGTGAAATACCATATTTATATCAACAAAGAAGTGATGGACAATGTATCTACACTTGTTTGTGCAATGGGTATGGTATAAGCATAGCAAATGGATGCAATGTTGTGGAAGATTTTATCTGGTGAAGATTACATGATCTTTGGTTGTAACATTACTTTGAGCAATATTATGACAGCCAGATAGCATAAGATTGCACCATGAGTGTGTGGGGAACAGGGGCGGACTGACCATTTGGAAACTTGGGCACTGCCCGAGGGCCCGGGGTCAGTAGGGGGGCCCATGAGATGCCCCTGGTACCTTTTTCATAGGCTTTTTTGAGTTTGATCCCCTATTGCCCAGGGGTCCCATGAGTTGTCAGTCCGCCCCTGGTGGGGAACCTCATGTGCAGCATTTAATGACAGATTTGTCACTTTTTTAATAGCAAAGGGTTATTAAGTGTTCTGCTATTTATGTAATAGTAAAGATTTGTATTTTTTTCTAGTTCAGGAATGCAGTTACTTTTAGTATTTTATATTTACGCTCTAGTAAAGAGGGTGTGTTTTTGATATGTATAGAACATGGCAGTGGTGAGGTTTGTATATATTAAGGAAAGGATTTCCCAGATTCCCTGACAGGAAATGAGAGGAAATTCAACCAAAAGAGGGACATAAAAACCAATGAAAAACCTGATAGAGACTGTAATCCTTCCCTTATTTGCTCTAAACAAATAAGATTTTGGCTAAAGTTGGGCTTAACCATGACACTGGTGGAATATATTTAATATATTCTACTTAAAGGCTAAGTTCACCTTTAGAACATGTTACATATACACCCGTATTTTAGGATGTAACATGTCCCAGCACCCCCACCCCCTGAGCCTCTCTTTTCCCTTGAGAACTGGCAGGGATTCTTCTCCCTGCAGCCACTGTCACATTTAAAATTGGCATGGCTGTTTGGGGCTTTTCCCACACAGCTGTGTCATTCATTCAAAGGGATCTGTGAATAAATAACCACTGAGGCTGACAGCTTGTTGTTCTCAATGGACTATGAGTGTGCTGATCAGTGCTCTCATAATCCATTCACACTTCTTCTAGCATTCTAACTGAAAGCCTGTATGGAGGTATGGGCAGAAAGTTAGATGGAGAGTGTTCACAATCCACTGATCACAGGTGCAATGCTTTGCGGGCTTCTGTAGGAGAAAATAATAAATGCACTTTTTTCTGCATAAATATGTGCTTTTATTATCTTTTCCTTAAAGGTGAATGTAACATCAAAAAAATCAATAGACGACAAAAGTTCCTCTAATGTGTGAGATAAATACAGTACCATCAATAGAAAATTCTATTCAGGGGATTGTGCTGGTTACTAACTGAAAGGGATTTGTGCCTCTAATGACCAATGGTAGGTTTCGGCCCCCCCTCGTTGGATCCTAGAGACTGTGTTCTGGAAGGAAGAAATTAGCATGCACACAAAGGTTTCCAGAAGACAATCTGAATCTTTATTCGTAGATTCTTCTTATATTGTAACAAAGAAAACCATACAATAGGATTTCGCTGGATACTTGTCAAGGCTGTGAACGTGAACAGTTTAGATTTTCACAGGCCTTGAAATCAGTTACAAGTGACCAACAGTTATTTTCCCATGGGACAGAAGTATTTGACTTTTAACTATATCATAGCAGAAACAAATGCTGTTAATACAAAGAAATAACTGGTTGCTTTTCATGCCTTGAGCAGAACTAGATTTAAAAGAATACATGAGTGCAGGCCTATAGCACATAACTGACACACAACTATACATTTAATTATCTAAACAATATAAGATGAGAAAATGGAGGGCAATGAACATACATTTCCCTTCAATCCCCTCTTAAATCATTATTTACATACATGATTTTTATTCTCCCTTATACAACATAATTCTTTTTCTGTATTTGGCTAGATAACTGTGATACTCCTTAGGTTTTGGGTTCAGTGGGGCAGTTTGTTCTTGGATCTCTTCTGCATACATAGTCATACCTATACCTTTGTTCATAAGCCTCTTTATACAGGGAATCACGCAACACACTATCAGGGCTATGAGTATCAGAGTGACTACAATAATCACCCCTATTTGTGCTAGCACCTGCTTCCATCCCTTGAGCCACCCAAAATACTGATCCCATGGGTCAGTGATCCCTGAATTCCTTTTCAACTCTTCCGACAGATCAGACAGTTTTTTTTTAGCCATAGTGACCTTGCCATTTGGCCCAGTGTTGTCTAGTATGTAGGTACAGCAAGTACCTGTTCCTTTTACCATTGCACACACACCACCCTTTTCTGCAAACACCATCTCTAAGGCCATACGATTTTGGAAGGTCATGGCGGAGTCAGCCTGCAACTGCTCCGCTATCCCCTTCAATGCATCCTTGGTGTAATGGACAAACCTCTGCTGATTGTAATATATATATAATTTATCCAATCAACATTCTTGTTGATGGTGATGGTTGGAATGATTGACTCAAAACTCGCTTTGACCTGGTCCCTGGCTTTAAACTCATCCGGGACCCCTCTTGGAAACCCCTATGGTGTCTATATAAACATGTGGGTCTAAACTACCCATCGGGGCCTCCCTCTTGTGCCCTCTGGGTGCCTCCTGCTATATCTCCAGGGATCTCAGAGGGAATTTCACTAAAGATATGCAGGGGCATAATAGCTTTGGCCAAAGCACACTCACCAGACCACTCCTTCTCCAATCTAGACCTGATCTTACCATCACCACAAATCCAGCAGATATCACCAAAAGATTGTGTCTGATTCTGTAAAAGCCTAGATGAAATGTTGCTGTATGTGTGACAAAAACCTTTTGTGAAATATACTAAACTTCTCTTTCTTGCCACTCCTCTATAGCAGGTATAATTCCCTGGGTAAATTTGCAAGCCTTTCGCCTGGTTTGGGGTTTTTAGAGACTATGGGATACTTTGCTTTCCAGTTTCACAGGAAGCATTTTTGTTATGTGTTCCTGTAAAAAGACTTAGGAAACATTCTTCAACATCTTCAGGAAGGTTCCCACATGGGGTCTGGCTGCTCCACAGACATAACAATTAGTCTTGTTGTGCTGCAGGGCACTGTACCTCATCCATTCTAACCAAAGATTTATATCTAAAAATCCCGTCTCCGCTGCCACGGTATCTTCGAAAGAAGGATCAGCGATGGCAATCATATCTCTCAAAGTACTGATGTCTGGCCTCAGGGGATTGTAATCATTGTTATTATACATGTCTTGTATCTTAAATTGCCCCCTTGTGCCTGATATACCCCCTCCCCAGTATAATCCAAATACATACATTCCCGAATCACTAGGGCTGGGATTTTCTATGGTAAGCGTATATTTGGCATTGGGCTTGGTAAGAGTCATTCTATTTATGAGGGATTTTCCGTTCTTGTCCTTCTTATTTATGGCCGTGTAAGGTTTGTATCCCCAGTCAGTTCCTATGTTCCATCCCACTGCTCCTCAATAATCACAGTTACTCCCCCAATAATCATCAGTTACACAGATGTAACCTATTCCCTTCATCCCCTTTTTCTGTGAGGTCTCAATAAGTGAAGGAAAAGGTAGCAACATGGGTGTTAGAAGAGTCGAACCATAATGTAGTAATCTTCCCCTCTTTGGTAATAGCAACGTGTGGTTTCTGTGCTGGTATATTGGTTTCTCTTTTGGTCCTAGTGTGTATTGGGTGTGCGTTTTCTGAGGTATTAATATCACTATTGTTGTGAACCATGTGTGTATTTTCTGAGATATTCTGTTTCTCCTTGTAGCCACATATGACCTGAACAGCGCCCAGGTCTTCTGGGGAGTATATGCAAATAATCACTATCCATATTGTGGTAAACACTAAAAATGTAATCAGTCCCAACAGAATCCATAGTTTGCCTGAGTCCTTGGCTAATAGAATGCTCATCTTGATTATTTTCAGAGACTTTGTTATCGACTTCACTCACTCTTTGAGGATTTGTATCACCTGCTTCACCTCCTTTAATAGGCAGCACCTTGTCCTGGTCCTCTCCTGTGCCTGTGTCTTTGTGTTTGGCCACCTTGACTCTTTTCACCCGGATGGCATGGATCCAGGCTTGCTGACCTTCTTCTAGGACAGTGGTCCTAGTGACTGCGATTACTCTGGTCTCTGGTCCAAATGAGTATCCGGCCTTCTTGTTCTGGGCTAGCTGCTTGACCACTACGATATCACCAACCTGGAAAGGATGTGTAGGGACCTGTGAAGAAAAAGGAGAAGTGCGAGCAACATTTCTTTCAACCATATCCAAAGTTTCAATCAATTTACGGACATACTCTTCCTTAATCTGCTCTAGATCTCCTGATTCTAACAATAGTGGTGTTCTAGCCCATAGGGTGGGGAACGGTCTTCCCATCAATACCTCAAATGGAGAATATCCTGTCACTTTATTTGGTGTCATCCTGATTTCTGTTAATACAATTGGAAGAAGCTTTGTCCAGCCGACAAAAGTACCCCCAGTTGCTTTCCTCAGTTTATCTTTTACAGTCCTGTTCATTCTTTCTACAATCCCTGAACTCTGTGGGTGATAGGGAATATGACATTTCCACTCAATTCTTAGGGCTCTCACTAGTCCCTGACAAACCTTTGAGGTGAAAGCAGGACCATTGTCTGAATTGATCTGTAGAGGGCACCCCCATCTAGGAATAATTTCCTGTGTGAGGATAAGGACAACTGTCTGGGCATCTTCCTTTGTAGTCTTGAAAGCTTCTACCCACCTAAAAAAACACATCTAAAATCACCAAAAGATATTTTTGCTTCTTTCCTATCTTTGGCATGTGTGTAAAATCAACTTGAAGATGTGTGAAAGGAGTGGTAGGATATTGTAGATGCTCATGCTTAGGCTTATTAGGTATGTTTGTATTGTTATGGATACATACTATGCATCTGGATACAAAAGCCTTCACTAATTTGGGGAGACCTGCAATGTAAAAATCTTGTAATAAAACTTCACAGGTGTTTTTCCAGCCCCTGTGTCCTACTCCGTGGTATTGTTCTATGAATAGGGGAGCACTGGCTGCAGGGATGCATGGCTTCCCCTCTTTGAGAAAGAGACCTTTCTCATCTTTTAGTAAATCCTCCCCCTTTAATCCTAACAGAGCATTAAGAATGGGAGCAGGGCCTGAGGTGGCTGACGCATATTTGCTGGTAAGATTAGGGCTGGACAAAAGAATGACCTCATAGCCGCTCAGCCTCTGGGAGGACATGTGCTGAGTGTGTATATTTTTTAGCAAAATAGCTACATTATGTATAGTGTGCAATGTCGTAGGGTATCCTAGGGTGAATGACATGGACATTTCCACAGTCATAGCACAAGATGCT